GTAGTTATGTTCCATTGTACAATCCAGGGAGTTGTGAATGCATAATTAGTATTAGAATATCAGCATGATGTTCTCAAGGTTTCTGGGTACGTGTTGCCAAGATTGTCTTAATGCCATACTGTGTTTTCGATTGCGTTTCAGTATTTCAAAAATGTCCCCAGTTGATCAGTCAAAGGTCAGTGCAGTGAAAAACAAATAGATAACAGTGATGTATGTATGCTACTATAACTTTGTACTTAACACAAAATCTGTACAGGCAAGTCTGAGAAATAAGTTGTACACACATTTTTATGTGACAAATGTTGGTGTCTATAATTTCCTAATTCCTATGAGTCCTAATAATTTCCATTTAAAAAAATGGGACAGACTTTGGTGAAATCATATGTCGCAAAAACATATAGTTCACAAATGACGTAATGCGATTAATTATTCATAAATTCATTTGATTCGGACAAACAAATATAACAAAAACTAGAATAACAGATATCCCTTAATTGTACTATTAGTTAGCGGATGTTTAGATCAGTACACTGCCATTAGAGGAAATACGGTATTTATAATTGATGTGGTATTGCAATTAATTAGCAAATATAATATGGATTTGTTCAGACATGCAGTGAACTTCTTTTAGATTCACAACAAATCCGATAGTAAAACTCTAGCAAAGAAACGAACCTAGGGTGTTAAATTATCATTATCGTCTTGGCACGTTGTCAGTTCTGTTTTCTAGTAATCATGCCAATTTAATGCTACCTATCCTAATGATACAGAATCCTCAAAACCTTCATTGAGCTGCTATAATTAGAGTTTACATACCTTCTTCAATGCAAAATCCATTTTCCATCACGTAACCGGGATCACAATTACAAGTTGTCTGTCCATCTTGTCCACTAGTACTCAAATGTTCCGGACATGCTTCGCAATCTGCTGTTCCTAGATGGTCTTTGAAATGATCTACACCACACTCTACAGGATAAATTCATTTTACGTATTACATTTTAGTTTCATATTACTGTTAAGGTTACAATGTATTTGTATCTGCCTGGTAGAGGTAAATTGCAATTAATTGCAGAAACTTACTGAATGCTAGGGACTCTTTTAATGGTCTGGACATAAAAGAAGATATACATGTTCAAAACAACATATATATATAAATATATGATTTTGGTAGCTTATATACCAATTTGTGATTATGCTGATACTTTGGATACATATCCTAAGACTCATATCATAAACATTACATGTATTCTCGGGGTGGTTATAAAAAGTACAAATGTGCTACAAATATCAACAAATGATTATGAACCAATTTTATGAACAAGTAAAAAAATGTTTGCAAAACTGTAGTATGAGGGTGCTATACCACTTCTGCAACCACTACAATCTTGTTTCTGAAGCCCTGTCTATGAAACTGTCCATCTTGAGTATGAGAATTGAATAGAACAGCCAAAAATGGCGTTGAAAAACATGTTGAGCTTTGTGAACTTTTGTGTTTAGGGACCGGATTCTATTTAAATCATTTAAATCACAAGCTATAGCACTTTTTGTGTTAATGCAAAAAATGTTCAATTGTGATGTCTATAATTTTAAAAATCCCAATGTTGGTGACGACATACTTCACCCCAAATAAGGGGAAACTTTTGAATTTTTAAACCTAATACATTTCTTACACAGAATCGTGAATTCTAAGCTTTTTTTTCAGATGTATAAATTAAATTATTACTGATACCATAAATACTATAACTCACTAGTACACGTTGATACACCATCTCCTTGGTATCCTGCTCTGCAGACACAATTGTAGTTACCAAGAGAACACAGATTTTCAGCACAATCTGCATTACCATGGCAATCACTAGAACATTTTGTATCATCAGTTACATCCCAAACATCACTACCTGGAATGGTCATAACATATTTGAATTTAAATTCAAGTAAATTCTTGATACAAATTAACATGTAAAGGTTCCAGTTTGTGAAATATAACTAGATAATAATAATAATCTATATTACATCCTTAAAAATACAAATTTTCAAGCAGCTTATATTATAGAAATTTGTATTTGAATGAATAGAAAAGGTAAAGACATCAAAGTCAATATTACAAATCAAAGGAATGTTCATTTCTTAAAATGAAAGAATTTGGATAAATCACCCAACAACCTAATTGTATTTTTGTCACTAATTTTCATTAAATTTGTATTTCCTGAAGATACTGAGAACTGAAAATTACTCTATTCTAAAATTAAAGTAAATTACTAAAACTCACATGTAACACATGTCCTCATATCGTCATCAAATATCATACCAATAGAGCAGACACATTGATAACCACCAGGTATAGGCTCACAGTCATCAGTACAGTTGCAACTAGTAGCACCACCTAGAGAAATATACATGTACAGGTAGTTGGTGAGTTAGAAAACTGCGCAGATGAGGTAGAAGTATTCAGAGGACAGCTAACTTTTAACAATTACATAAATCACTACTGGATCCGCAAATTTGGTGGCTGAAATAAAATATTTTACTGACCAGCTCAAAAATTTACTATTGCTACCAACTGGGTGGGGGTCTGAAGATTTGTAAACAACCTTACACTCAAAAGAGTTATTTTTGAACAGTTACCATAGCAATTACCAAGGAAACATTTAGTTACCTCTTGATAATTTTAATCAGACTTGTAACTATTTTGATCACTATGGAGGAAAAAATGAAGGGGAAAGATGATATTGTTAAAATTGTTAGAGCCATTTTAAAGTTTAACCATCAACAAAATTATTTTGTGTAATCTAGCTACTCCTTCCCACATGAAATGTTAATAAAAATTGACAAACCTTTTGACCAAAAAAGAAAAGCAAGATCTGAAACTGTTCGTATGGTGAAAAATTGTGATGAAATTTAGTAAAAATTTCACCAAATAATAAAATGTTGGCACTGAATTTTGGGAGGGAATAGTATCTGGCACTCAACGGATCAATAAATGATAAATCTTATTCACCTAATACATCTCAATAACTTACCTGTAGCATGTAACACCACTGCTGTTGGTCTTAACATATTTTCAGCAATTTTTTCAAATCTCCTAGTGACGGTATTGGTCATGAACACAGCTTTGTCTTCCCAGCTACTGAATATCAATGTATTACCCATAACAGCCAAACCATAGGCATGATTAAATCTACCAGTTAAATAGTCAATGGTTTCCTTTCCGTAACCTGTTGTGTTCAATGTACATTTTGTTCAATTTCAAGATGTACATATCATGGTTTTTGGACATGCTTCATAGTTAGAATATGAATATCAGCAATTATTTATTTACATTGAAGATATAGGATCCATGTATGATACTTTAACTTTTTCACCACCAAACTTTCTCTCGCCCAAAGTATTCAGCATATTTTTCTATATTCTTCAATATTTCTAGAAATGAACTTGAATTTTGGAGCCAACAGACAAAATTTGTGACAATTCCCCGTTTTTCTGGCTATTTTTGTTCCAATTTGTTCAATAAATAGGACTACTTTGTGAATTTGTGATGAAACAATTGACCTGACGGTCGAAATAGCTACGCTGTCTTCACTATCATGGAAAAAGAATCAGTAAAGTGGCATTGTGGTTGACGGTTTCGAACTAGTTGTCGAAAATAACATTTTTTACCAAAAATGACAAAAATATTCACTCAAAATCGAAATTTGCATATTTTTAGACGAATTTAACAAATCTGACAGAGGACCACCCCACGTATCCTTGCTGCAAATATGAATGTAATTGGGCAAGTACTTTTGAAGAAGACGTCGTTTAAAAGAAAACTTCACGCGGGACGCTGGACGAACGGCGGTGGAGAGACCCCCATACCAACAGCATCGCTGGGTCATCTGCGATGACAGCGGAGCTAAAAAGGGAACTGTTGGTGAAAAGGTTAATGTGTTAAGTTTTCAGTACTGCAAAATTGTTCTGAATTCATGTTATATCACATCACATAATTAGTAATATGCAACCATTGAATTTTTCCTACCTAAAATTTAAAACAACTTTTTGCACGTTTTTATGAAATTATTAAATGCGTACACAGTTTTAAAAAAATCATTACCAGGCACCTCAAAATGAAAAATCTTAAAGTTGCATTACAATTTGTGTCACACATGTATACATCTCACTGACTATTGTGATTATGGTGAAGAATGATAAAATCAGTTGGTTTCAAACAAATCCTAAAATATTGGATCATTAAACCTATCATAGCCTACACTAGACAGAAACAGGGTCTTGGTGACTAATCACCTAGTTAAACAATTCTCATAGCTGTAATTACTTACATCCACTTTACTTTACTGTTCTTTACTTTAGAAGACTTTTTTAATTTGGTTTCAGGATTATATTGGATATGATTTTTATTTAAAGGTACAAAACTCTAGGTCTTAATTCCTGATGTTTATAGGGGTCAGTGAGAGATTTCTTCAGATCATACTAAGTGGGAATACAATTTAAATTTTTTTGCATTTTTGTAATATCAACTCACAGTCCCTCTATGATAGAGGGACTGTGATCAACTTAAGGTAGAAGCCTAGTCATAATTTTTGACAAAATTGGTTATAAATCGCATGACAATGTTCATTAGTTTATTATTTACAATTATGAAGCTAATGTCTCATGGTACAATGAAATAGCATTATTTTGTGTGTTTTAGTTATGCTTTATGTGAAATGTGTTCTAATATTTTTTTGAATATTGCTATTTTTAGAACAATTTTATAGAACACAATGTTAAAGCAAAATTGCAGTTTTGACACTTTTTAAAACTCAGATTATTTAAATAGTTCAGAACAACAAAAAGTACTCCATCATTAACAATATATGATTTTTTCAGCCTATGTCACCAGGCTAGATTTTGAGATATTGCATAATATCTCTGCCATAGGAGCGTTTGGTAAAAGTGTTATAATAGTGTCAAAATGGCGACTTTCCACTAAAATACAACTTTCTTTAGGTCAATATCCTTATATTACCTTGAAGTACATTTTATTACAAAATGAATAAATTCTGAGTTTTTAAATTTATGAGTAGGCTTCTACCTTAATTCCATGGTTTGCATTATAAATTTTGCCTTACAAATCATATATCAGTCGGTTAACTTTTTAATCTTTCACAAACTCTAACATCATTCTAATTCAGATATCAATAGAGATTTTAACTATGAATGATTTTGTACATAAAACAAAAAAAATAATTAAAATAAATCCTACCGTTTAAATCAGATTTTATTACAATTCCTCGTCCTCCATCAATAACATACAATTTATCACCTTCAATGGCCAATCCATTTGGTATTTCTAGATTACCAAGGGGTAATATATCTGGTGGTATACTATAACCAAACAGATTCAATCTCTGTACTTTACTGTAACCAATGCCCCATTCTGTCCAATATACATATCTGAAAAGAAAAGATTATTATTAGCAGAGGTACATTACTTTGGGTTTGCAACTACGGTGACATGATACCAAGATCCCGACTCAATTTCGCTCTCGCATAAGCGTTCCAACTCGGAAAAATGCGAATGCACATGCCCGAGGTAACTAGGATACTGGGATGTACAGGTGGATCAAGATAGCTGTTCACGATATGACAGATTACGGTAACTATATTTTCTGTACATTTTCGATGTATTACATTTTTTCGCTATGATTGTGGTAATACACGTTTTATTACAAATCGCCTATGTCATGTCAGAAGGTCGTAGCATCAGTCTCGCTATTTACGAGATGAGACTTGAATGGGATCTTGACATGATGTCACCATACAGTACTATGTGCGTTGCAAACCCCAAGTAATGTACCTCTGGTATTAGATATATAAAACATTTCCTATAACAATTTCACAAAACTAAATAGTTGCATGGTATGCTTTTCATAGGTAATTCTATAAAAAGTGTTCTTATAAGTGCAAACACAGTATTAATATAATATATAATTTTATTAATACCGGTATATTAATGAATTTTTATCAAACCCCTCAAATGTGAGTGAGAGAAAACATATTTAGTTTTTGAAAACAAATTTACATTTGTTGAAAGATTCTGACAGTCAATGAGATGAAGCATACTTTCTCTCTTGTGTATTTAGATCAATGTCAAACATAATAGTAAAAGTATATGTACTGAAAAAAAATATATAATTTTTGCCAAATGATAATTTTATGGCGTTCAGTTACATAAGGGTCACTGTGACTTGAATTAATTTGCTGTCTTCAAGGCTCCAATAAAATTGTCAATGCTTTGTGACTGAACTACCTCCCTAACTCTCATGAAAATAAAACAGTAACTGAGTAAGAATAAGTAAGTCATACTGCTTACCCATTATGTAAAGTAATGGCTCTTGGACTATCCAAACCAGAAATAATCAACTCATGTGTGCTAGTATCCCCGAATAAGTTCATTCTTTCTATAGTTTTCAACTCATAGTCAGTCCAGTATAACAGTTGTTGAGACTCATCAATGGCCATTCCATCAATCACACCACCCCCTCTGTAAAACTCATCAGGTTTGTCAGCGAGTGCTTGTATACTGACTCTGCTTATCACACCAGTATGGACATTACTATAGTAGATCATTTCATTACTAGGGTCATATACAACGGCGACGATGTTGTCATCTTGGTATCGTTGGATTGCTGGTTCTTGTGGGTACACCCCTTGACTTGATGAGTCAAAACTAATGATTTGAATATCTGTGACATCAGCTACCAGTAAAAAGTTGTTCGGAACTGTGATGTTGACAAAAATTTTAGTCATTATAAACTCCTTTTGAAACATGCATGAATTAATTAATGTTTTTTTATTAAATGGAAGGTAAGCCTAATGCATATTAAATGTCTCATACCACTAATTATCATATTAGAAACTGTAGCCCCCAAATCATCTGCAGTAGCAAATGATCTTTTTCTGTCAATTTTTTTGGACTTGCGTGTAAAGCTTTGTTTATAATAATTGGCACCAGTTACCTGTGGATTTGGGTAGCTATAAATTAAAGTGGGGGAGTCGTTACCTGCGCATGCGTCAGATGGCCATAGCGTCTCATTGTTTAAAAACAAGCGTCTACCCATGAGCCTTTGCGTTATTAGCGTGTGTTGTTATCGTTGCTTGGGACTGAATTCCCACGTGTGCGCAGGTGACGACCCTCCCGCTTTAATACACTACTTAACAGGCTATAAGCTGAAAAAATCCATGTGTTTTGTTTACATTTTCTTTTGGAAATATGAGCTGGACAACGTGTATTTCTAGAGAGATGTAGCTTCATCTAATATTTCACTTTTTGAAACCTGTTTGTTTTTATAGAAATTTACCCATTATATGCTAGCATCTAATTAGTCGTATGAGACCACAATAAATAGGATAACATTAATATGATGTTTGGGAAGATGTCGTATCATTACACACACCACACATCTTCACAGCACCTGAACTGAAAACATGCGATGCTGTATAAATATGCTTTTAAGAAGGTTCAAGTCGAATTGCAGATAATATCTTATATTTGTTTTATTTCACTATTATAAGTTACCATTAGGATACCGAAAATAAAAAAAATTTCGAAGTTTGAAATATCTTGGAAATTGGCTAAATTGTCATTCTTTTACACTGGTTTTTGTGGTAAGATTATTTATTCATATCTCAAGATGTTTCTATATTATATACAATGAAAACATGCACAGTACTGACAAATTTTAATTTGTCTCCAATTGTCTTAACACAAGAAATTTAATTTAAGCTTTCAGCAAAAAAAAAAAATTGTAATAATACTTTGTAATGAGAAAAGATGTACAGTATTATCATTGATAAGATATAACAAAAGTTTTAAAAAAAAGTTCTCATTTAAAAAATAAACACTGATTTGACGATTGTTCCGGTAGACTGTAAACTGCTTCAATTTAGAAAGAGACACATTTTGGTTAATTGTGTGTGTGTCAGTGAAGTCACAGACTTTTGTATACTTTGGGGGTATACAACACAAGTGTGTCAATGACTTTTGAAAATACTTTATTCTAGCTGGAATTGATTTTCGCTGAATAGACTTTTTGGGCGTTTTGTATGGAATTTATTTTCAATGATTTTTGAAAGTTGAATGTGAAATATAGGAAAAAAGGTATATTCACTGGATTTTATCATCACTGAATCATTACTGAAGCGAATATCAATTCCAAGCGAAAAAAAGTATTCTACTGTATCCTTACCTAAACACTGTGTTGCAGTGCTGTCTAATATCAAACCACTTTGATCAGGACATAGACATCTTGTACCCCCTGGTACATGGACACATATACCCCCGCTATTACTGCATATACTTCCAGCACATCGATCCATACCTGTACAAAGAACAATATGAACCAATACAGGCATACATGTTATAACATTTCAAGACAAATTAATCTACATGCTGAAAACAAATAAAAGAATTAAACTATTAGAACAAATAAGATATACAGAACGCTTTAGAAATTGAGAAAAACAATTCCAACAGTGTGAAGAAATATGCAATGATAAAGCGCCAAAGAAAATGTCAATTTTGTTATGGTGGCAATAAAGCAAATATTCTATTCTATTTTGTCTAATCTTTTCTATTCTAGTCTAGTCTAGTCTAGTCATTATAACAGCATTTACTGGCAGTTAGGATAACTGCTATGCTACATATTTTCACATTAAATTTCAAATATTTAAGCACAGTTCACAATATGTACATAATGTCATGCCTATTTTATTGAACATTTTATTGACAACCAGACACAAATTTTTATTTATGCTTTCATAATATACCGGTAGAACAATTCTTACCCAAATTATTTGATGCGGTTCTTGTTGCATGTTTAACACCCATGGGATCAATAATGTCATCAACTATTTTCTCACATGGTCCTGTGTCTAAAGTACATTTATATATACATGTGTTGTTCCAATCACTGTAGAATTGAGTGTTCCTGATTATGTCCAATCCAAAGGGAACCTAAAAAAAGTGAATATTATTATTTGCAGTATTTATGGTACAATCCTCAAGCATGTATTAGATTCACTCATATCATAAGACACGACTTTAATTGATTTTTTGTCATAAAAGATTCACACAAATCCTTGTCATGCACAAGTCCTGAAATGAGTACACCTTGTTCAAAATATTGTATTATGTTTTGAGAATTACTATAAACACAAATAATTATTCACAGGTTTTTAATTTTGCTATTTTTGCTGTCAAGTAAAATTAGCTAAATTAAATCCATGTGAATATGTAGAATAACAATAGAACTCGTTGTTTCCCTGCCACAATCATGAACTTAAAAAACAGTGAAATTGTTCAAAATATCAGAATGGTGAAATTAAATGTCAGTGAAAATAGATGAGGTAATAAATGGTGTGCTTGGGTATTTGGTAGCAACTATAACACCCCTCTTAACAAGATTAGAATATATGCAGGAAAGGTTAATATCTGCCATTAGAGAGCTCTTATGTTTACTACCAAATCCCCTTGTTTGCTATATATTCCTCTAAATAAAAGTGTTGGTTTCAACGGGAAACATAACAGTAGATAATGGAGATGATAGAATGCTAGTGGGTCTAGATTTACCTTTACATACTGATAATTCGAAGCACAAGCTTTCTCATAAAATTATTGAACCAATATTGCATATTTTATATCAAAAACTTACAATATTATTTAACAAAATAATTTAAACATGATGGAAGCATTGCCTTTTTATTTCATATCTACAACATTTTCAGTTCTTCTGTGTCCCATATTGCATTGGTAAGTTAGAATACAATAATCCAATTAAGTGTCACCATTATCATAACTATAACAGAGAGTATGTAATCAGAGTAGACATTACCTTCAACGGGAATTGTAAACTAGCTTTGTTCGTTCCATCCAAATTTGAATATTCCATAGTTGGCGGACTTGGACTGTCCACGTGTGAATCCAGCCAGTACATTTTATCATTTCTAAGTGCAATTCCATTTGGGTTATCCACGCCAGTGTTCTGTATCACCATCCTGTTTTTACCGTCCAAGTCAGTTCTTACAATGCCAGGTTGTACATCCCAGTCTGTGTAGTATAGATACCTGACAAGTTAACATAGATATCATTATTAATATATAGGATTTATTATACAGAAATAAGTACCTGGAGTAGTATATGCAATTATAATTGCAGTTTGAAGTCACAAGAATGATGATCTTGTATACATTTCTAAAAATACAAATGAGAGTTGCATGGTTAGTGTACACTTAACTGTTTTTTTTTTATTCTCTTATTAGTCACAAAGCATGTATTACATTTTTTGTCTTTTGGAAAATGACAATATAAATAGCTGGTGATAACATAAACCTTATTTCTAAATCTTTAGTGATGACTCTGGTTAGAAATACGACTCATGTGCACATGCAACTCATGGCATCTTCATTGCATATACGTGGATACTATGAGGTTATTACGAGGATACCTCAAAGTATGCACAAAGACAGTACAGCAGTGGTCGATTCAACGATGCACTGTCTATTATACATTTTTTCCTTCTACGAATACATTATGGGAATGCCTAAATCCAAAAAGTTTAGAACAGAATCAGCAAACTTCTTTGCATGGAGTGCTGTCAAACCATGGTGGCAGCCATGTTTGGTTCTTATTATTAGAGGACGCTA